AAACCTGACAACCTAGGGAAAAAATACACTATCAAGCACAAACTACACTGGCAAAAGCAGAAATACACTGACCAACATGAAAGAACTTCAAAGTTTACAATGGTATCTTCCTGACAGTATCCAAAGCACCGAGGAAAGAGCCAAGTATGCCATGATTAAAAGCAGAGCCTAAAGCTTGAGAGACAGCTCCACCTGTGCTGAGCCCTTGTTCCAGCCTCCATACAACATGGGCTCCCAAGTTCTGATTTGGGAGTATTAAACCCTGATCACAGCCACAGGTGGCCCAAAACACAAAACAAACGATAGCCAAAACAATAACAGCACAAAGCAATATGTACTTAGCATATATATATATGACAAGCCCCATACAAAGGAAGTCATGTGCATAAACTCATAAATTCCTCACAACCACCCAGTAAGTGCCACTATTATTTCTATTTTACAAAAGAGCAAATTAAGGTCTAAACAAAAGAGAATATGCCCCAGTTACATACCCTTTATCCTAGAACTGGAATCCAGGAAGAAATGCCTGACTCTGTACTTTCAAACTACTATACTTTGCCAGAGTATACTACAGCTGGCATGGTGTTTGCCTTACAAGCTGCTGACCTGGGTTCAATCTATGGTCCCAAAGTGACCCCTGAGCACCACCGAGTATGACCCCAAAACAAATAAAAATTCAAAGACCAAGTGCTATATTTTACATCTCTATATGCATAAGTTTTATTTTTTAACATATAATTAAAGATATCCTTCCAAAATAAGTTATAAAATAAGCACTTAGCCCCACTTACACATTAAAAGACAAAACTTCTACCTTAGTAAGTGTAATACAAAAATCATCGTATTGGAACTTAACAACTATGAACTTCACAATTTATTTTAGAACATTTTCCTATGTTTAGGTCACACAAATTATGAAGGCATTGAAAATTTTAATCACCCAAGGGGCCAGAGAAATAGTGCAGCTGGTAGAGCTCTTGCCTTGCAAGCAGCTAACCCGGCTTGAATTTCCCTACCCCCATGTGGTTCCCCCAATCTGCCAGAATCAATTCCAGAATGCAGAACCCAGAGGAACCCCAGAGTACAGCTGGGTGTGAACAAAATCAGAACAAAATCAATTTAGCTTTCCATAAAATCTACCATGTCATTCAAAACTGTGATAAAATCTGTGCCACCAACTTAAACTGTTGAATACACTGTCACACACTGTCCTCCCGTTGTTCATCGATTCGCTCGAGCAGGCCCAGTAACGTCTCCATTTTGAGACTTGTTGTTACTGTGCTTGGCATATTGAATACGTCACGGGGAACTTGCCAGGCTTTGCTGTGCGGGCGAGATACTCCCGCTAGCTTGCCGGGCTCTCCGAGAGGGGCGGACGAATTGAATCCGGCTCGGCCAGGCTGGCTGTGCACAAGGCCCTACCGCATACATTTAATTTTTTACTTAAATATTCATTCATCTCCTCTTCACTGTACAAATGAAAAATACTTAATCCTCTGACCACAATCTATGTAAACATAACCATGAATGGCAATAAATATCTAGTCTACACACTTGCAACTCCCTCCTCAAATGATATAAAAACTCACTTGAAACTCTTAAGTCTAATACAAAGATTAACCATCTAAATCTGTAAATAGTTTCTCAACCTAGGCTCTTTTCCTCAACAGTAAACACAGCAGCACCTAGGCCTCAGGTACTCTGAATCAAATTAATACAGTACTTTTCCTTTGTAATGAAAGCAAGTATTTTTACTGCTCTGGGCTGGAAAGGTAGTATGCAGGTAAGGTGGTTGCCTTGCACACAGAGGACCCAGGCACCATTTCCGGCATCCCATATGGTCCCTGGGGCACCAGGAGTAATTCCTGAGTGCCGAGCCAGGAGTAACCTCTGAGCATCTCCGGTTGTGACCCAAAAACTTTAAAGAAAGAAAGGAAAAAAAAGTATTTTCATTATTTAAAAAAATGTAACAGTATCATAAACATAACAACTGGCACATCGCTTTTATAACTAAAAAAGCCTTTGCTCCTGAAAAGGATATTCCGGGATTCTTAAAGGCAAGGAGAAATAAAAGAGAAATACAGTCCTAGTTTACTGTTTCAGAAATGCAAGAAACCTAGCAGTCACTTGTCAGAAAGAATTCCAAGATCAGAATGAAAGTCGTTAGAAACCAGCAAAAACTTCAACTCCCTGACACTGATGAAATAATTATTGGCAATCCAGAAACTTGAGATACTGATCAATACACATATCACTTCATTTTTAAAAAGGAAAAAAAAGCTTATCTACTGAAAGTTAAAAAGTAAATTTAAAAAAATCTGTGTTTAAAAAAATGCACGTATAAGAAAGCAAAATATAGGCTGAAAGCAAAATGTACACCAGGTTGGGCACTTGCCTTGTACATGGGAGATGCAGGGACATTGAACAGACCAGAGTTCAATTACCAGCATCGCCCACCCCACTCCCCAAAAAAGAGAAAGCAAAATGCATCAAAAGCATTTTACAACTATGTCACTACTCTTTTAATACCCCCAAATCAGAATGATAAGCATAATTCATTTACCAGTTTTCTCCAGTCTAAACTCTAAACACAATTTTGTAATAATGCAAATTGTGACTTGCAGCCTGTTGCTATTACCAATAAACTGTTATATAAATCCCAGGTTATCAACCCTTCCTAGCACCTTCCAGCACCAAACAACTTTATTTCAGCGGTACGACTTTAAATGACTAACTTAAAGACAACATACTTTCAATTTTTTTTATCATAGAATTTACAATCAACCGGAAGCTATTTTCACCTATTTACACAAACCACTTCTCTTTGACTTGTCTAAAGAGACAAGAGAAGTTCACTATAGAATTCGGTTATGTTATAAGGTCTATCCCAATGGCATAAAATCAAGTAACAAATTCAGCGTGATAAGGAAGTTTAGTGTTTTCCCCAAGGGCACTAAAGCAGCATTATAAAATCCATTTTCATGTTATTCAATAAATGGACCTATAAAGCATGTTAAATACTGCAGGAAACTGATCCCTTTGCTAATTATTTTGCTATCCCTTATAGACAAGTCACCAATAGGGCTAATAATAATAATAATAATAATAAGGCTTAAAATTCAAGACTGCAATTCCGCACATTCGAAAAGTAGCCACCAGTGGATTGGGAATATGGTTTTGTGGTAGAGGCATGAATTCCAAGAGTGAGGACCTAGGATGGATTTCCAATACACATACATACACACAAACACACACAAACACACACTTAAAAGCCAATTTAAGTGTAGCAGCAGTCATTCAGCAGCTAGAGATGAATTAACGGTGTGTCACTTAATCAGAGCAACAGTAAAGTCTAGAAATCTCCCCTTAAAATGGAGAAATGAACTCTGTGTGTGTGTGTATGTGTGTGTGTGTGTGTGTGTGTGTAAGGAACAGAAATATAGGGAAAATTCATTGCAATGTTAATCTAGAAGAATCAAGCAGAAAAAAGAGGACGATGTTAGGAAAAGATCTAAGTGGCAGTAAAGATTAAAAATTAGTCTTTGAAATAATTTTTACAACTTTTGAAAGAGGGTTACATTTATGGTACAGGGACATAAATGTTTAAATGCTACAAAGATTTCCTAGTTCTTTGGTTCGCATCTCTTTCCTACCACAAAAAAAACACATCTAGAAACACTTTCATAGTTCCGAACACTTCATTCGAGAATGAAAAAATGGTCAGAAAGGAATGCGTAATGGAGGTGTCCTGAATACCAACCAGATTCGAAGAAAGGAAGAGTCTGGCCCCACACTAGTAACTAAAAGCAACAATGTATCACCGCCTGAGTAGACAACTGCCTCTGTGTTTTTCTCTTTAACTTAAAGGGAGCCTCGCGCAGAGTTGGGGGACTGCTTAATTGAGAAAGTTTCCTTTTAAATAAGTAACTGCACCGAATGAAGTTAGGATCAGGCGGGTGGTCACTGACACGAACGCCCATCCGTGATCGCAATCTACAAATGATTCCTAAACAGCGCCTGAGAACCGCCTCCCGAAACTGGCTCGATCTTCGCGTCTCCAGAAAAGATCTTGAAAAGTCCGGGATGGGAAAGGGTTACAAGGGAGCCGGCGAGACATCATCGCCAAGAGAAAGAAGGGGCAACCCGACCGTGCACCGCATCAACATTCTCTCCCCCCTTCCTCCCTTCTCCCCGCCCCCCACCCCCACCGTGTCAGGTGATCAGTTATTTAGCACCATTAACACGCACGGATCGACAAGTGGCTCATTACATTACCCCCCAGGCAAGCTTCTAAGGGCTTCGCCTTTCCAACTAAGCCAGAGGAGTCGACAGTTTGGGTCCCGAGCACAAAAGCGCGCGGCAGCGGGATGGATGGATGGATAGATGGATGGATGGATAGATGGATGGAGCGCCAACTCCTCTCTCCCAAAGCCGGGACCTCCCCACCAGGCTGGGCCTCGCGACTCGAGGCCGATGCCCGTGTCCCGGGTCCAGAGCCCCCAAAAGCTCCGAGCTGGGGGCTTCCCTCGGAGGCCAGAGGCCGGCAGGGTCGGGGCGGCGGGGGGTTGCCGGATTGAGGAGGGGTGGGGTGGGGGTGGGGGTCCCGCGGGGCGGGCCTTTCTGGAAGCGCCCGGCCTGCAAGATCCGCGCGGCGGCGGGGCACACTCACCCCTTGGGCCCGGGCCCGGGTGCGGGTGCAGGAGCCGGCCGGGGCCCCGACGCCGCGGGGCCGACCCTTCGCCGGCCGATCTGCCCGTCGCGGCTCCCTCCCCACCCCCGCGGTCCAAACGGTCCCCGGGCAGGAGAGGTGCGGCCCCGGGGCAGGCCCAGGACGTTGCGCAAGAGGCCGGCGAGGGGCTCTCCCGGCTGGCGCGGGAGAAAGGCGCGGAGAGGCGGCGGGAGGGGCGGGGAGGCCCGCGGAGGCGCCGTGCGGGTGCCAGGGGCTGGGGGAGGGGAGGGGGCCCGTCGCCCTGGCCGCGGCCAGCGCCGCCACTCACCCAGCTCCGCCAGACGAGCGCTACCACTGGCAGCAAGAGGAAGATGGTGGCCGCCGCCGCCGCCGCCGCGGAGGAGGAGGAGGAGGAGGAGGAGGAGGTGGCGGTGAAGGAGGAGGAGGAGGAGGAGGAGGAGGGGGCCGGCGGGTGCCGCGGCGAGGGGGTACGCGCAGGACGTCGGCGTCGCTGCCGCGGCCGCTTCCCCTCTCGGAGGCCCCGCGGCTGCTGCTGACGACACTCGCTCCCGACTTCCGCGCCGCCCTCCTTAGCCTCGTTGCAGCCGCCGCCGCCCAGGGCCCGAGGCTCCTCGCTCTCCTCGCGCGGACCGTGGGGCTGCTCGAGACCCCGCAGCCATCGGCGTGCGGCGGCGGCGGCGGCGGCGGCGGCAGCGCGAGGGGGGGGGGGGGGGGCTGGAGCGGGGCCGTGTCACGTGACCGCACTGTTTACCGTTCCCGGGGCCTGGGCCTGCGCCGCCGCCGCCGCCGCCGCGCCTGCGCGCTGCGCGCCCTCCCGCACCGAGCCTCGGCGGGGGCCTCGAGCCGCCGCGCTCCTCCGCGCCCCTCCCCGCCTCCAGCGGGCCTCCGGCGTCCAGCCCCCCCCCACCCCCCGCGCGGGGTGGTCGCCTTCTCCCGGTGGGAGGGAGCGCTCGGATGTTAGCGCTCGGAAATGCATCTTTTAGTGATGGGGCAAATAGACTCTTCCCTCCCCTCACCCACTTTTTTTGATTCCTTTGGGCCAGAGGTTCAAGGTCCAAGCCCCTTCCTGAACCAACGCCACCCTCGGTTCCTGAATGGTTGATCCACTTAAAACTACCGCCGCCGGGAAAGTTGCTGGTCGAAGTCTGTAGTTCTCCGAGGGTGCTTGCAGGCCCCTCTAGGGGATTCCCCCGAGGTCTTTCTAGGGATCTGTAATTCTTTTGCAATTACCTATGAAGAAAACCAAATTTTGTTCCTCTCCTTCAACCAAAACAACATCTATTAACCCACTTAATGCAGGAGCACATATGACAGCCTGTCTCTTATTAAGTCAGACATTGAAGAAATCTGAAAAAAAAAATACCACTCTTGTTGGAAATTGTATTTTTATTTCTGTGGTAATAATGGATTTTGTCTATAGGGAGGAGGTTGGGCCACACCCAACTGTGCTTACGAGTTACTCCAGGCTCTGTGCTCAGGAATCACGCTGGCGGTGCTCCGGGGACCATTTGTGGTGCCAGAGATCAAACCAGGGTCAGTTGCATGCAAAGCAAACTCCCTACCTCCTCTACTACCTGACACTAGAGAGTGTTCATTTATAAGTGCTTTATCTTCTTTGGTTTAATTTCTAGGACAGCAAACCCCTGTAGATGCAAGGGAACTCATATATGCTACTGGCAGGCTCTCAATTTTTTTTTTTTTGTCTAAGTCTCCTGAAACCAAGAAGTTTGAAAATCTCTAGTCTAGGTTATGTACTTCCTGCACTTCGGACTGATACCTATCTCAGTGCTCACGAAGTGCTCTAGGTCATTGTTGCTAGTCTTCACCATGACCAAAATGAGACCCTTAAGAACAGGAATGGTGTCTTTTATCTGCAGAACATTAACAGTAGCCACTAAGGAGTGATAGCCAACACCTGCTATGTCTTACAACCTTTTCCTGTTGCATGAAGCAGCATACGCAGCACGCCGCAGCTATCACAGGCAAGGCAGCGAGATGTGGAATAACAGCTCCTAGGCATGTGGTGAAGATCTCTCCAATCCTCTGGTTTCTCAACTCCCAGTACTAAAATGCTCACACAAGATTTTGACTGTCCTAATTCTGTTGGAATCCTAGAATTCCATCCTCTGCCTTGACTCATCAATCCTTCAAAACTTGGTTATACAATTAATTTCTTAGTCAAAGGAAATCCGGAAATAGTAATCAAACATTTTCTTTCACTTGTAATGTCTGGGGTGAATTACAGAAGAATACCTCTCTAACTATCTTTTGAATCACAAAGTAAAATTTGAAAAAGGCATTGGAATGAATGGAGACGTTACTGGCACCTGCTCGAATAAATCGATGAATAACGGGGATTAAGTGATAAGTGATAAGTGATTGTTGGGGCTGGAGCAATACCACAGTGGGTAGGGTGTTTGCCTTGCACAACCCAGGGTTCGATTCCCAGCATCCCATATGGTCCCCCGAGCACCGCCAGGAATGATTCCTGAGTGCGAAGCCAGGAGTAACCCTGAGCATTGCCGGGTGTGACCCAAAAAGCAAAAAAAAAAAAAAAAAGAAAGAAAGAAAAGAAAAGAAAAAGGCATTGTTGGGGCTGAAGACATAATACAGTAAGTGTGTACCTTACATGCAACCACCCAGATTTGATCCCCAGCATCCCAAATGGTCCTCTGAGCAAAATCAGAAGTAGGCCTTGAGCACTGCCAGATGTGCCCCCCTAAAAGAAACAAACAAAAGAGACATTATGAAACTGTGCATTTTATTTGGTGAGCTGGTTAGTTTTTATAGCATTTTTATCAAGGGACATTTTTAAAAGTAAGATGTTTGCTATAAACAAATACTAATAAAGGAATTTGAGGGGCTGGAGTGATAGCACAGCAGGTAGGGCCTTTGCCCTGCACGCAGTTGACCCAGGTTCGATTTCCAGCATCTCATATGGCACCGCCAGAAGTAATTCTTGAGTGCAGAGCTAGGAGTAACCCCTGTGTATCACCGGGTGTGACCCAAAAAATAAAAAATAAATAAAAGAACTTGATATAATAGAGCTCAATATGGAAAATCATTCATGGAAAATAGATGATCTGGGGTTCACTTAGAGATATTTTTGTAAATATATTTTATGAAAATAAAAAGAAAGTATACAAATCATGTTTGTCACATTTACAAAACAAATATTTTTTAAATTTTATTTTATTTTTATAAAGTTGTTCATGATGATTTATTACATTCAATATTCCAACCCCATTACACCTTCCCACCACCATTATTTCCAATTTTCCCAACCACCACCCAAGCCTAGCCCAGTAGCAGGCCATAAATAACTTATTTTGTATTGCTTGTTATGAATAATTTACTAAAGATAATCAAAAAAGATTTCTATAGAAGAAATCGTGTGAGGATTGTTTTATCTTACCCTAAAGCAGTTAAGTCCTTGTGTAAGAGATTACTGACATGATGTTATAGGTTAAGTCTTGTGTGTTAACATTTTCTTAACCAAGATTGGTTGCTTTCCACTTTACATCCCATCCAATGTGACATGTTACTCCTGGTATATTAGTGGTGTTGAATATGAGATGTCACTCAGCCAAGGATGCAGCCACACACTCCAGGAATTCTAAAATTTTGAAGAGGGTGATAAGTTGGAGTTAAATTATTAACTCGATGGTGACTTTGGGGTCCGGAGGCATCTCTGCAGTTTGCTGATCTCTTTCAAGATTTATTTACAAGGGGCTGGAGCAATAGCACAGTGGGTAAGGCATTTGCCTTGCACTGCCAACCTGGGTTCAATTCCCAGCATCCCATATGGTTCCCTGAGCACCACCAGGGGTAATTCCTGAGTGTAGAACCTGGAGTAACCTCTGTGCATTGCCAGGTGTGATAAAAAAAAAAAAAGCCAAAAAAAAAAAAAAGATTTATGAGTCTCTGGGTCATAACCTGTTAATGAGCTTATGTGGTGCCAGAGGCAGTTCATGGGCATGACTGCCAGGCTCCTGGAACAACAGGGAGATTGGTAAGGTTGCCCATCCCTGACTCTATGAGAGCCTGGAGATTTCAGTCACAAAACCCACATACCTGAGTTTTTCAATAGATTCATTCCTGGATGAGGCTCATCCTGAGCCTATGGAGTCCAGCCATGAGCATGTTGGCAATTGGATTATGGAGGTTTTCTGGGGCTGCTGGGGCTCTGGGCAAGTGGTGGGTTCACTTACCCCCTCTGGGGTGCCCTGGATGAGACTGAGCCTAGCACGGGTTCTGGAGGTATTGCTGCAGCTTGTTGGTCTCTTTTGAGATTTTTATGAGTCTTCTGCTCCACCCCGCCCGGCTGTTGCAGTGGTCCCTTGGAGGGGGGCAGGTTGAGTTTCCCTCCCTGCCCTGAGCAGAGCCCCGGCAGAGCCCCGAAGACCTCTGGAACCAGCCATAACCATGCTGAGACTACTCTCCACACGCATGAAGGTACCGGCAGAGGAACAAAGGCATGCGGATCCGGGGGCTGAGATCTCCAAGCCTGCTCAGATTGGGGCTGAGCATCCTCCACCCAGATCCTCCATCCTCCAGTAGGCGGGGGTCACAACCACCAACTGCCCCCTGGCGCCATGTAATCCCATCAACGGCCAAGACCCAGAGACTATAAAACCCAGCTCCCGGAAGCACGCGGCCACATTTGTGGCCGGGCAACATCTTCTTATCTCATCCTTGCTTTGACAACCTGGCAGGCTATGGAGTGTAGCCTGCCCCCGCAGCAGAGTCTGGCAAACTCCCCGTGGCGTACCCAATATGCCAAATACCAGTAACAATGATGGGTCTCATTCTCCTAACCCTGAAAGAGCCTTGAATGTGGCACATTTGAAAATCTCAGGGTTAGGGCGAAGGAGACATTACTGGTGCCTGCTCGAGGCAATCGACGAACAACAGGATGCTCATGATCGTGATCGTGATTAATCTCTAGACCATGAACACTAGGCCTTCTTAATGAGTAAAATACAATGCTAAAGTTGCATTGCATTAATTCCCTTGTATACCCATGGGCCTATTTGTTAAAATGGCTATAGACAGCCTAATGCAATAGAATTGGATTTTGTGGAAAGAAGTGGAAAATATTGCACTTCTTACAAAAAGTAACTGGACTTCATTTAAAGAGACAAAGAATCATGCAAAAAAAAATAGAAAAGTGAATGACAACAAACTATTTGAATGCCTTTCAGAGGAAAGCACCAGAGGAAATTAATCAAAAAATGAAATCAGCATTAAGTGCTATCAATTCAAATGGAGAAAATGATAACATTTATTTAAAATCTATGTAGAAACTGGATAGTAATCCTGACTTATTATCAGATTTTCTTTTCTGGAAAAATTTTCATTTTGACGTAAACCCAAAATTATTATTACTTACATTCCTTTTCAAATATATTCAGTTCTCATTTCACTTATGCCAGAACCACTTATTTGCCTGCAGCAATTACCATAGTTTTTCTTGTAATACGAATCTTGACTTGACTGTGTAGATTCTTACTTTATATCATTTCCTTCAAACTAAAGAGTTCCATGGGCCAGAGTGATAGTATAGCAGACCAAGTGTTTATCTTGCATGTGGCCAACCCAGGTTGAAAACACCACATATGGTTTCTGAGCACCAATCCAAGAGTGATCTCTGAGCACAGCACCAGGATCAAGCCCTGAGCACAGCGGGGTCATG